CGTTACGTTACGTTACGTTTACGTTTACGTTTAGTTTTACGTTTAGTTTACGTTTAGTTACGTTACGTTACGTACGTACGTACGTACGTCGTCGTCTCTCTCTCTCTCTCTCTCTCTCTCTCTCTCTCTCTCTCTCTCTCTCTCTCTCTCTCTCTCTCTGCTTGTATGTTTGCACACGCAAATTCTTGCTGTGAAAGCTTACAATTATTTTTGCTGTAAACTGTCCACAAATCTAGCAATTTTTGTGGGAACTGTTATTCCACTTTTGGTGTAGATTGTCCACAAATCCAATTTTTGCAGGAAAGTCTCTCACTTCCTCGAATGAACTTCCCACCCACACCCCAAAAAACATACGCACACGTGCACACACGCTCATAGATACATACATAATCGTGTGCACTAACAAACAGTATACACAAGTTACTCTGGATGTTTGCAACTATTTAAGGGGCTTAAATCTTCTTAACTTGCTGATTGTGGCCTCAGCTTGTAGTGGCAAATATCTGGTTTTGTAAGCATGTGGTTTATGCATGCAGTATGGTCACAAGGCCAACATTTCTGAATGTCCCTTGTTTTGAATCCTGGCATTAGTAGGAAAATATGGGTTTCTAGCATGTGCTTCATATGGGGGCTTTGGCCTGTGGCTTTGTTGTAGAAGCACCGGGCCTTACCACTGTTTCCGAGTTTGAATCCCAGTCTAGATATACGTCTGTCTTTTGATTCTTGGACTGAACCGTTCACTTATGGTTGCTTATTGCTGTTCATGTTTCTACATCCGAGTTTGAATCCCGGTCTAGATGCGCGTCCATGTCTTTTGATTCTTGGACTGAACTGTTCACTTATGGTTGCTTCTTGCTGTTCAAGATTCTACATAAATTGATTTATTATCCCCCATTTTTGTCTCTGTTGTGTTTTTTATTTTCATTCTTTTTCCTTGCTAAACTTGACCATTTTTCCGTAGTGTCTGTGTTATCGGCTGCTGAATCTAAGATTACCTAGCAAAAGGATAGTTGAGTTATTATTTGATTTTGAAAAAAATTATCTTGTTTTGTGGTTGCTTTTCTCATTTAGAAATGACGTTCTTTTGGTTCTTCGGCTTTGTGGTGAGATGCACCCACCCCACGGCCATAGAGAGAAAGTTAGTGTTTTTGTTTAGAGTGTGTGTAGAGAGAGAGAGAGAGAGCGCACGTTTATGGAGTCTCTGATAGGGTGTTATCTTGTTTTTGTGGATGGCAGATGTGGATAGCCAAGGCAGAGTACGAGGAATCTGGTCCGTCCATTGTCCACAGGAAGTGCTTCTAGATATGGTGGTTTTGGGTTGGTTGTTGCTTTTTTCTTTTCCTTTTTCGGTTTGTGCTTTTTTCACGTGCTCTCTAAGATTGTTTTGGTTGAGGAATGGTTGCCTTTTCCTTTGTTTCCCTTTTTCTCTCATGGGGCTTGAAATTTTTATGTCTTCTTTTTATTTATATTCATATAAATTTAATATTATGTGTACTTCAAGAAAAAGGTCGTTTGAATCCGAGTTCTTTCTTGTTTTTTTTTTTTCTCTCATTTCTGTGGTCCCCTAAACTTTATCACCCGACTCTTTTGCCTTTTTCATTTACACAGTACAAACATTTGTCTACTTTTGCTCTTTCTTTAAGTTTTGCATTCGACAGTGGCGACGGAGGACTCGTGAGTTGCTTTTTCTTGAGTAGGGGTAAACAGAGTGGAGGGAGGCCATGTGTTTCGGAGGCATGGTGTAGTGAGTAAAGGAAATGGAAAAGGTAAAAGGTCGGGCCGCCCTATCATTCTTGTGTAAATGAGAGAGAGAGAGAGAGATGAAGACACCTGCATTTTGCGTTTGGACTGGCCCTACAGGGATAAGGACCGGGCTAGGGCGAAGGTTGGCCCAGCCCATCGCGAACCCATATTTGGGAAGTGGTCATCAACCTTCCCTGCCTGTATTTTATGAGGATGAGGAGAATCTTTGGGATTTAAACCTGCTCCTAATTTGGAGACTGAGGATTGGAGTGACTTGTTGGATTTCTGAGCTTTTTATTATTTATTGTTTGATTGAAGCATTATGGAAATTAGTCATCTAAATGGGCTGATATTTGTTAAGGGTGTGGTTTGTATAGAGCTGAGCCTCTAAACAATCAAGTAAAGTGCTTATTCAAATAGTGTCGAGAAATGTTTTAATATTAAAAATATTTTTGATAGCCTTAAAATATATTTTTATCTTTAATTATAAAAATTTAAAGCTTGAAAAATAGTGTAGATCAAGCGGAATTATGAGAACTTGGAAATCTTGAAAATTGACCGTGCACAAATAAAATACAAGATGCATTATTTTTAAAGTTTGAAATTTATTTTTGTTTTTTTAAGTCTATGATCAATTTGAAGATATTAAGGTGAATCTTTCTTGTAAATTTTTTGAAGAGGTTATAATTTGATTGTTTAGACCCTTGGGCTCTATATAAAAATTTTCAAACTACCGCTCATGTATGGACTATGGTAGGAATAACATCGTTTGTTATTTATTTATTAATGGAAAATTGATTTATGTTCTTTCTGATAGCCCTTATTTAATTATTCATACTTTTGTAAGCATGGACGCATGCAACTCTCTTCCTCTTAAAACTGTGTCTTAATTGCTGTAAAGTTGATGCACATTTTTGGTACAAATTCAAACCATTCAACTGAAATACAATTCAAATTCAAATCACATAACTCGATAACACATGCTCTTTAAATTCTTGTTACTCAACCAGCGTAATTGATCCTAATTAGCATAGTTGATTGTCATAACAAATTGGATCGTCGCCATCTAATGCCTACCAATAATGATAGATTGTTTATTGAAGCAATCCCAACTTGAATAACTAACTCGCCTGGATGATTAGATTTAATCCCAAAGTGTAATTTATGGGAACTGCCCCTACCAAGATTGACTAGTATAAGTAATGGGAGCCACCCCTGCTAAGATAAATTCCTGCTTAATTAACTAGTGCTAATATCAGGTCCACAGCTCACCGGTGTAACTAATTGGAGTTACTATAGTGAAGCGGAAACCCTGCAATTGAAATAGTTTTTACCTATTCCCCCATGCCTTCTTTTATTAAATAGTTCAAGTGCTACAACCAATGAATAGCAACAAGATGAAGCAAAGCAACAATCATCATGAAGCAAAGCAACGATCATTCAAGAGAATTGGTTACCACAAAAGACTTCTCCAAAGCGCTACGCCTAGCCAAATTGGTGACTACTAAAGACTGCTTTGCCTAGCCAATTCATCCGTCACCTCATTAGCCCACCTCTCTTTATATATATATATTATAGGACATTCTCTCACTCATATGTGTAGGACTCTAAATGATCATCATTAAATTTGACATGGATATCTAAAAAAGTAAGTCTCACATCCATGTGATAATTGTTTTATGGATCCATGCCAAATTTAATGGTGATCCTTTAGGATCATACACACATGGGTGGGAGAGAGTCCTATGAGATCATTACTTATATATATATATATATATATATATATATATATAGAAAAGATGAGATTAGCCACTAGCTCATATGAACATATGA